GTGATCCACCCGCCTCGGCCTCCCAAAGTGCTGGGATTACAGGCTTGAGCCACCGCGCCCGGCCTCTGTTCTAGTTCTTTCTCAACAATTAAAAATTCCATTCTGATGATCCCCTTTTTAATTTTCCTTTTTTTGAGATGGAATCTCGCTCTGTCACCCAGGCTGGAGTGAGTGGTGCAATCTTGGCTCCCTGAACCTCCACCTCTTGGGTTCAAGTGATTCTCCTGCCTCAGCCTCCCAAGTAATTGAGATTACAGGCATGCGTCACCACACCCGGCTAATTTTTGTATTTTTAGTAGAGACGTGGTTTTACCATGTTGGCCAGGATGGTTTTGAACTCTTGACCTCAGATGATCCACCCACCTTGGCCTCCCAAAGGCTAGGATTACAGGTGTGAGTCACCATGCCCCACCACCTCCCTTTAATTTTTTATGAGTGGATACTAACAAAGCCATTGTTAAAAATCTGTGGAAATTTGTATCATAGATAAATAGAATTTTCTGTGGTAATAACAAGAAGCATTGTAATAGACATATTTTAGTGTTGATCGGGATGGAAACTAGGCCCAAGTGTTACCAACATCCAATGACTAACACCCATGTGATGTAGGGGTTGACTTGAATACACGAGTTGGGATGTAAGCAGAGCGAAGTTTCAGGTGCATACTAAATTATGTGGATTGTGAGCCAAGGTGGCCAGTGTGGGCATGTGCAGGGCAATGAAGCAGTGGAGCCAGGTAAGGAGGGACAAAGAAGAGATGCAGAGGGAGGAGGAGTAGGAGGAGACAGAGAAACTCGGAGAAGAACATGAGAGAATAGCCTCCAGCTCCTAGATAGAGGAGGAAGAAATATGATGAAATGAAACAGCAACTGTAGTAGGGATTAGAAAAACTGGGGCCAGACCTAGAGAATCTTTTGGTTAAATCCATGCTTGGCTTCTTCCTCACTATGCTGCCTTGTCCAAGACACTTTAACTCTGTGATCCTCAGTTCCCTCAAAAATTTGTAGTACTGTTTGGGGAGGCTGTCAGTGACACTGACAGTGATGCCATGGCATGATAAGCCCAGGGTGGTGGTGTAGGAAGGAGGAAAGCTGATCCAGCCTGGCCGTCTGAACTGTGTATGAATGAGCTCAACTCTGAGCTCATGGTTGGTGCTTACTTTCGCAATTTAAAAAATAAAGAAAAAGATTGCCATTGTGCAGATGATTATAGCCCCTTTGCAGATTCATGTTATGTATGGAATAATCACAAATCACAGTGCACACACATTTTGTGGGTCGCTTTTTCAGATAATATTATATTGTTGGCATTTTTAATGTTTGTAATTGCCCTTGTAAAGATTTTAACTGCACTCTTTGTGTGTGTGTGTGTGTGTGTGTGTGTGTGTGTGTGTGTCCTCATAATATAGTGGCTATTGAGTCAGGCTCTGGGTGTGAATTTTAACTCCACCACTTAGTGTCTTGCTATCTGACACTCAGCCTCACCTATGCCTCATATTCCTTACAGAAAATAACAGAACTTGCTTCCGAAGACTATTGAGATAACTAAAGGCAGTAAAGCATGCGAAGAACAGAGCTTGTCTGGTAGCAAGCCCTCAATAAAATATTGGCTCTTATTATTACAAAATTTTACAGTTTGTAATAATTGGAACATGCTGTCATTCCCTAAGCAGCCTGAGGTAGTCTGTGAAAATGGTTTGTTATTCATTTGACTGGGAGAATCCCACAAAATCATGCAAATCGAGAGATTCCAATCTTCGTGTTCATTTTAAGAACACTTGTGAGGCCAGGCTTGGTGGCCCATGCCTGTAATCCCAGCACTTTGGGAGGTTGAGGCAGGCAGATCACCTGAGGTCGGGAGTTGGAGACCAGCCTAACCAACATAGAGAAACACTG